AGTTCTACTTACGTGCTAGTTTTCATATTAATGAGATTAGCAAATTGACCAAAACATTTAATAAAAATAAAACAAAGCTACTAACCCTCACGATAGACATTTATCAAATTAATTAATTAATTAATTAATTAATTAATTAAGATAGTAAAATACATAATGTTCACATGGAAAATAAAAATTCTTCATATTCCAGAAAAAAAATATATCAAAAATAAAAATCTTGGCTTCCATTTTAAAGCCATTAAATAGAAGCTTCACAAACCCTTTAAGTGCTGGATTCATAACAAACTCAAAATCAAGAACAAACCAACCACTCAAGTTTTTGTGTATACAACTTCAGAATTCAGAAAGATGCATCCAATTTCGAGGTTGTGATTCATCAACAATTTTAACATCATACATATATAAGTGTATATATATATATATATATACTTATATATATATATATATATACACACACATCTTTAGCTTCACCCACATCGAGATCATTGCATGTATGCATTATATACGGTGAGAGTTGGAGTCATCTGCATTTTGTTTTTTGCTCATTAGAGTTTCTGGGTTTTGTTGAATGCAGAGCCAGAAGTTGTGTGAGTGATGAAAATGGAATCCAGATGAAGAAAACAGTTCTTCATCATCTGTTTGAGCAGCAAGGCCAGAGCCCTTACTTTGATAATCTTTGCCGCCCTGTTTCTGATTTTCATTCACTCATCGCAGCTGGAATTAGAGGTCTCACCACCAATCCATCGGTAAACTTTAAATCTAAACAGATTTAATGTTTCCCTTCATTTTTCTTGTTGTTTCTCTCTGTATCAATCTCATATATATATATATAAATATATGCATATATATTGCAGATTTTTGAAAGAGCTATTACATCATTTAATGCCTACAATACCCAGTTCAGGTAACCTGCAACTGCAAACAAAAACCTAAAATACAAAAATCTCAGTTCATTTTTTGGTTCTTCTTTATAAAAATATAATTAAATCCTGATGGGTTTTTTCTTTGATGTGTTTTCTTTTTTTGTTTTTGTTTTTGTGTGTGATATGGAATAGGGAATTGATAGAATCTGGGAATAATATTGAAGACGCTTACTGGGAATTAGTTGTTAAGGACATTACAGATGCATGTAAAGTGTTTGAATCACTTCATCATCAATCAAACGGGGTTGATGGGTATGTGTCTATTCCAGTTTCTCCGAGATTTTCTAGGGACCCAAACAGGACAACTGAGGCAGCAAAATGGCTATATAAAAAGATCAATTGTCCCAATCTCTACATAAAAATTCCAGCAACAATCCAATCCATTTCATCCATAACAGAGTTGATATCACATGGGATAAGCGTCAATGTCACTGTAAGAACTCAAAATGATTAAATTTAGTTTCAGATTGAAAAATATTTTGATCAATCTTGTGAATTTTCTCAACTTTGTCAGCTCATTTTCTGCCTCACAAGATACGAAGCAGTAATTGATGCTTATATAAAAGGCCTTGAAGCTTCAACATCGACTGATCTGTCAAGAGTGACAAGTGCTTCTGCTTTCTACATCAGTAGAGTAGACAGCTTCATCGACGAAAAACTCGAGAAGATTGGAGGCCCTAAGGCTCTTGCTCTTTGTGGCAAGGTAAAGCTTATCGTTTTATGATCGAGTTTTCAGGAGAATATTAACTAATCCTGTAAATAAATTTGGTATATTTTAGACTTAAATTTTATCTCATGATATAAATTTAGAATCATTCAATCACATTTATGAATCATATCATTTCATCTCTATTCATGGAGCACCTTATAATTAGTGCTGATGATCCGGCAATGTTGTATATAGGGTGCGGTTGCTCAAGCTGTGCTGGCTTATAGGCTTTTTCAGAAGAAATTTTCTGGGAGTAGATGGGAGGCTCTTGAGAAAAGAGGGGCTAAGAAGCAGAAATTGATGTGGGCGTCGGTTAATGTTAAAAATCCAGTTTATTCTGATATTTTATACGTTGATTCTCTTATTGGACCGAACACGGTAATTACAAAAAAAATATTTTAAAAAATTAAAATTAAATTTAAAAATAATTATTATAAAAAATGAAAAACGTAAAATGTGTCACCGTTTAAAATTATTTATTTGATACTTGTAAATAATATTGTTATTATTATTAACTTTTTTTTTCAGATTTCAACCATGCCCGAACAAGCTTTTCTGGCATTCATGGATCATGGTATTGTTGCTCGAACTATCAATGCAAATGTTTCAGAGGAGGCCGAAGCAATTTATAATGGGGTGGAAAAGTTAGGAATAGATTGGGATGGTGTCGGATCAGAGCTTGAAAATCAAGTGTTGGAGACTTTTAACAAGAGCTTTAATAGCACGCTTGAGTTTTTAGAAAAGAAGGCAAAATGTTTCTGAGCCTCATTTCATTGTTCAAGTCAATAATGTTGGTTTCTTCTGTTATAAGTTTGAGACAAGATTTTTTTATTATTCAGAGTAATTAAATATCATATCATTAGAGAGAAATAAATTACCAAAAAAAATATTTAAAAAAAATTGATTAAATTAAATTCAAAGTAAGACAGAGATAAAATTATAATACATTTATATTTCTTAACTCTAAAAATTTAAATAGGTAAATGTTTTATTTTAATTATATTCTCATTTATTAATATTTGGAGATAAATTACAGGAATATGGTCTAAATAAATATTTTTTTTAATTTTTTAAAAAATAATTTATTTAATTTAATAAAATTACAACTAAATTTATTAAAATTATAATAATTAAATTAAATTTTATCTCAGTAAATTATTAAAAATCTTAATCAAAATAACATTTTATTATAAATAAGTCTCTTAATTGATAAAACTATCATAATTTAAAGTCCAAAAATAATTATTCCACAAAAAAAAGGTGACCCAAGGAGCTTGTGTGGGGAACATGAAAGCCACGCTTCCACTTCCACATATTTCTAGAACAAGCAATTTACACAATCTCTTCTCTTATCTCCTCATCTTTCATTCTTCTCTTTTCAATTCTCACTTTACAGACTGCCAATCCATCGAACCAGACAAGGGTGGTCTAAAAAAAATGGCCTTGCAGGCACCCGTAGGGCTTCAGCCCACGAAATCTTCATCTCCACCGGCTTCTCCTTTAGCTCCCACTGGCAATGTCGGTCTGCGCCGTCCCATTGATCGTTTCGCTTTGCGATCTTCTTTCTTTTCTTCTTCATCGCTTCAATTGTTCATCTCTCCGAACCAGGCTCAGCCTCTCGCTGCTGCTCCCAGATTCTCCATGCGAGTTGCTTCTAAACAAGCTTACATTTGTCGTGATTGCGGGTACTCTCTCGTTTTCTACTTCATTCATTCTCTGGATTTGTATTTTTACAGTCTGTAGACATTTGAATCAAATCTATTATCTTATTTTCTTGATCTTCCTTCGTTTTGGATGCAGGTATGTATACAACGACAGGACCCCATTTGAGAAGCTCGCTGATAATTATTTCTGTCCCGGTAATCATTCCCTCTTCTTCCATGAATTTGTTGAGCAGACTAATTTGAAACTGTAGTGGGTTTGGTTTTGAAGCTAATTTTGCAGCATGTAAAATTTAATTTCTTCAACATAACGTACTTTTAGGCGTTTATGTTAGTAACTTGTAGCTAAGTTTGTTTAGGAAATTAATTTTTTAAGTATAAATTAATACATTTCAATTATTAAGGATAACTTGCAAACCAATAACACATTCAACAATTTAACAAGAAAACAATTTTGGGAAATGATTATTTTTAGTAGAAATTCATAGATTTCGATAATTATGTGACACATGTATACCAATAATAATATCAATAAAATTTTATATTGAACTCAGTAACTTTTATAGAGAAATAGAAATACCAGTTATGCAATTAGGGGATAGAAGAGATGATTGCTTGAGTGAGTGATATAATAAATGGATAGTTTAGCCTCATTTAGTAATAGACTAAGAGGGCATTGGGTATTTTCAGTTTGTGGTGCTCCCAAACGGAGGTTTAGGCCATATCAGCCTGCGGTGACCAAAAATGCAAATGATATAGATGTCAGAAAAGCAAGAAAAGCACAAATGAAGAGAGACGAGGATATTGGGTAAGCAATAGGATTTCCATTTTTTACATTTATAAGTCTTTTCAAGTTTATTCTTTCAATTTTTGACGAGGTAAGTTTGGTTTTGTGCAGGAGAGCATTGCCTATTGCTATCGTGATCGGAATTGTGGCACTTGCTGCTTTATATTACTACGTCAACAACTTAGCATAGGTTTAATCACACCGAACCCCCCCCCCCCCACCCTCACCTTACTATTCTTTCATCTTCTTTGAAATTTTGTATTAATTCCACTGTGCATTTGCGAATTGAAGCTCTTAATCTTAAATGAAATACACCAGCTCAATTAAATGTTGAAATAATTGCTTTGTATTTCTTTCATTTCTAGACTCTTCTTCGAGCAGCATCTAACCTCCCAGTAATGAGCTTCAATGCCTATGGCCAAAGATGTTATTAACTTGATTACTCATGCTCATCAACACCAATTGTCATATTAATACGAAACCATTATACTTTTACTATGTCAAATGTGATGAGCATGTTAAACAAGCAGAAACCAGACCCCGGAAACCATACACCTTCAGAGGGGAGCGTAGGCGTCAATGGCCTGAATGGCTTGGGTGTGAAACTCTGCCCAATTAACGGTAGGGTTGCTGCAGTTCTTTACATGCGCAGACCTGCTCATTGTAACAGGGGTCCTAACCCGGTTATTCTTGATGTTGAAATTACAAAAGAAGATTGGTAGAAAGATAAATATCATTACATTGTTAAAGGAGTTGAAAATTTACAGACATGGTAATAGGTAAAACAGATCATTCTTGCAAGACAAATGAGCCCTCTATTCTTTTATCTATGGACTGTGAAAGAGGGAAATTTAAAGGCGAAAGCATATCATTGAAACTTGAGGTAGGTGCAGGTTTGAACTCGTAAGCACCTTCTTTCACCCCCCATACCTGCGGTAGACATCACAAAGCACTGTCATAAAGCTTTTGTTCTTGAGGAACAAGGAAAAATGAATCTGTACTTTATTCTGTAATAAATTGAACAACTAATTCATTTGTAAATAATTTTTTATTCTTGAATTCTCACATTCCGCGGGAGGGGGGGGAAGAGGGAAACAAGAATCAAGATGTTTCAACCTTATGTTTTTCCAAACTTTCATTCCCAACTCAACCAAGTCTAATAGAATTTAAAGTGCACCTGGTCTGTGGGTGTGCAATTTCCAATCTGGATCAGAAATCCAATCTAGAATTAGACAATTTAATTTGGTCCAGCCTTCACTGAAAATATTAGGAACATTGAAATCTCTAATCCAATCAAAAGATTGGAATTTATTCATTTTTAGTGTTTGTTTACGTTCTCATTTTACATTGGCGGTGATGATATTCTTGTGGTTTTATGATTTTTAAGAGTTACAAAAATATATTCAATTATTATTTGAGTTTGTTTTTAATATTATTTGATGCTAATTCAAAACTAAAATACATCTAATAAAGGGGGAACCAATCAAACTACTTGGGTGGAATATTTCTAAAATTTCATCCACTACTGGGAGAAATATTTCTAAAATTTCAGTCTTTATCCAATTTGATGACACACCAAGTTACCCAACTTTACCAGGAATTTGTTGTGAAAACAAATTTCAGTTTGAAATAATTTTAAACATGAAGATCCAGATTTAAATGAATTTCACATTTTTATATAATTCATTTATTCCAGACATACTAAAAGAATTTTTTCTTGGAGCATGTGAAATTCAAACAAGAACAACTAAACCATACCTGATTTCCATCGTCATCGTAGCCCCTATCCCACATGTGTATCTCACTATTCTTCAAAATTGCAAGTTCAGATGTACAATAGCTTGCCCCATTCTGTTAAAAATAGTATTATTTGAAACTGGCAAGTAAATGTAAAACTGAATATATCTCTCCCCAGCTTATTGGGAATCAGAAACAATGAGCCAACTCAGTACAACAGCATCAAAAGGCACGTACCCATGAATTTGGAAATCCACCTGGGGGAGTTGAACCTTCATATAAGCATCGTTTTCCTCGTTCACACCGCTTGAGATATATTGTTGTCAAATGCTCCGCAATATCCTGCCCTTAATATCAGATTGAGTTTGATTCAAATTTTGTTTTTTCAAGATAAGAAACAAAATCAAATACAAATATGATAAAGATTTGAATAAAAGTAGCATTCGGATTTCAAATCAATCTTATAAAGATGAGACTCAATATGTAAGTAGTTAGTTCAATATATTAAATATATAAAATATAACTAAACTTTACATATTAATTAATCAAGATCTAGGAATAAAATAGAAGTAGATTAGTCTTGAACTATACACAAATAGAAATAGACAAGATGTTAACACTTCAAAAATATCACTATTTTATATCTCAAGAAACGAATATAATGAAAGTAAGTTCTTCACAAGCCATGGTCTGTAAGCTATTAAAAGAAGTCGTTATCTGCAAACTGGAAATGTAGGCAGTTTAACCATAGATACAATCTAAGTATCATGCCCATCTGGTACAAATTTTCAAGGATCCAAGGTAATTGAGCATTTATAGCAAAACTTTATGAACTAAAATAACCAGATGAGACATGTGGAGCATTCAATATTTGAAGAAGTTGTGATTCTCTTATTTAAATCATATGGTCTTGAACCTTCCAGCATCCCCACTAATGAGTTTTAAGAAAAGGCATCATTTACCTAAGAAAAAGATAACCAGATCTCTTATATGCTAAATTTGATATCCCAGCTTCAGTGAAAGTAAACAAATGCAGCAAAAAAACAACCCCATGAAAAATTTGAAGCCAAAATAATCAGAATGATCAGTTCAAACATGTGTCAAAAAGCAAGCAGTTGAACTAGATCTGGCTTCTAGAGTATCTCTTTTCTTCCATGGCTATCTTCAGTCTATCCTTTCTTTTCTCATTTTGACAGTGCGTAACGTGAATGCTATCTGTGTTTATGAAAGCTGTTTCACTTTTAATTCTACCGTTCCCCAAACTTGGTATATAACTATGGACACCAGTGTGTTGAAAAAGATGTGACTAATCTGCCCCATTAGAAGGGAAGCAGGTTGTGAATGGGGGTTCTCCAATCTTCCCATCAATCCTCAAGGTCCTTGAAATAAAAAGTTCAGATGATTTTTTTTTATAAAAAAAAACTATGTTAAAATCGACCATTTAAGCCTCCTTCTGTTGACTTATAACCAGTATGTCTTCAAAATCAAAATGTCAAATAAGAAAATTTAGTCATTGCTGATAAAACCCCATTCATGCACTAGCACAAATACAAGCAAACACAATTATAATGCCACTGAAGACATACACCAATAACTTCTTCAGGCAATGGGCGCTGATCCTTCGAACGATCGCAGAAATTTTTGTACTCCTCCACATCTCTAATAGCATACGAACTTACCTGCCAATTAAAACCAAGTTATGTGGAGACCAGTAACTGCAAGAATGCTTAAGTGATAACAAACTTGCCATTAGTATAACTGTTTCTACTTGCTTAAGAAAACAAATGTATGTATTCATATACAGAGCCTCTCAAATACCTTAGCTATCAAACAATGACAAGATGAACAATAGTAACTAAGATATGAATGCGTAAGTGGGGATAGCCTTCTCAATTATGACGTTTAAAGGAGTCTTAAGCACTTAAAAATCAACACAATGCTTCAATAACAGTTTAATGCAAAAAAGACGTAGCATGATCATATAAATTTTTATGAAAGAGTCATATAGATCAGACCAGAAGCAAACCTCAACGTCACATTTCAACTCCTTGGGACATGGCTTCACCAAATAAAATCTCTGCAACCACATCACTGTTAGAATTATCTAAGCCAGGAGTTCATTTAATTAAAACCAAAGGATCAGAAAATGAAAAAGAACTACATCAGAATTCAGAGTATGATTTGGAAATCAGGAGTATGGTTTCAAAATCTTCCTTAGTGCCCCAGAATGATTTAAGTTCAACTTTTTCTGTCAGGAAGAGTGTCTCCCTGGGATTTGTTAATCAAGAGTGAGAGATAGAGGAAAAGATGAAATGAATCAAGATGCAGAGGCCGATGGGCTGTTTAGTTCCAGAAAATCTTTTTCAGTTTTCTATTTCCAAACAAAATTAGAAAACATTTGTTATGTGTTTTGAAAGTAAGGAGTTCCTAAGGAAAATGTTTTTGTTTGCATCAAAGTAAACATTTTTATCTATTTCCAAAAATAAATACAAAGACGATTTAGAAAAATAAGAAAATTTTCACACAACTGAAAAGCCTCCAAGAGTTTCAATTTCAACTGCTTTCCGAATGCAAAACTAACATGCTAAGTCCCAAAACAGAGCATACCTGCCGAAAAGGCTTCTGAGGAGTTCTCCAAAATGCCTGTTAAAAGGAAAATAAGTATTTTCAAAACTTAGGAACGGCCAAAATTATCTGAAAGTAAAATGTAAGTTGCAATAATGGCTGTTAGCTGTTAGACAACTAACCTGTTCAAAATATAAAACATTTGAACCATCCACCATTTCTGCTGCTGGGCAAGTGAGCATTCTGCCAAAACATAATTCTCTAAATTAAATGTATTTAAAACATTAAAAAGAATGTACAGCACTACTTTTACAACCAAAACTTTTATAAAAAGTACAATTGCCAAGAATTACATCTTACTAATTCGGATATTTGTGAGCGACGGCTAACATTTCTCAAACAATATATGCTCACAGTGACCATCATAAAACATAGACAAACTTCAGTTTTTAAACAATAATCGCTGAAGCAAAGCATTTCAGGCATCGACCTCAACTAAATTCTAAACTTAGAATCACATCAAACATGAGTAATTAAGGCTGCGTGCCGGCTTTTTTGCTCGAATCATAACATTGAAAACTGGAAAATAAGGAAACAACATACCTAATATTGAAGTAATTATCGGGGTCCCTGGATGCTTGCTCCCTAGAAAACTACCACACCAATGAAAACCGAGATTAAATCAGAAAAAGACGTATATTGAAGAAAAAAAAAACAACGAAACAACAAATCGAAAAGAATGAGAGAGGAAGTAAGCACCTTCTCGCCGCTAAGAGAGCGAGCGACGAGGCGAGTATGGTCCCAGCGAGTGGTTGATTTGGTGAGTCTCTTAAGCAGGACAGCGCCGCCAATCAGTAGTAGCGTCTTCACCACCAATCCCCGAGCTCGGCCCCATCCGTTCGAGCCCGAGCCCGAGCCCGAGCCCGTTCCCATTTATTCGAATTCCCTTTCAATTCATCCAGACAACACCATACCGCTCCTTTCACTTCCCAAACAAAGGTGGAGCGGAGTAAATTTCACCAAGTTGAAAACGATGAAAATCGGAATTCGTAAGGCGAACAGATGTTTTGATGGAAGTAGGGATTTTCCTTGCAAGAGGAGGAGGAAGCTACCTTCTAAAAGCCAGTTGATGTTTGTCGCGATAAGAAATGGAATGTTCAGGGCCCTTTACAAAACAAAAAATGTAATTCCAAACAATCCCCAATCAGGAGTGGAGGTGTTTTCAAATTTCGCCACGTCATCACTTGATCATTTTTTTTTAATTAAATTTTCTTTTCCATTCGTTGGTTTTAAATGTCTGTTGACTGTTAACTCCCTCATATAACTTTTTCCTACTTTTCATGCATAT